CCCGGGGCTGGCACGGCCCTGGCACCGCAGGGCAGCCTGGGGCTGGGCACCAAGGGGCACCGGCTTGGGCAGGGGGTGCAGGAGGGTGGGAGATGGGTCTCGCGGGTGCAGGTCCACGTGCTACCCTGAGGGTCCCCCGCCTTGGAGTGTGGCTCATGGACTCCTCCCTGTTCCCGGCAGTTCCCAACCATCCCTGCAAGACCGACAACGGCGGCTGCAGCAACCTCTGCCTGCTCTCGCCGGGCGGGGGGCACAAATGTGCCTGTCCCACCAACTTCTACTTGGGTGGTGATGGCAAAACCTGCGTCTCCAACTGCACAGCCAGCCAGGTAAGAGCCCTGCCCACCCCCGGGCTCGGGTTCCTGTCCTTCCTGCCTAAGTTTCTCCAGGTCTCAGCTCCTCTGCTGGTGTATCTGGGTGCTGGGGGGTGCAGCTCTCGCCGGGCGGGGGGCACAAATGTGCCTGTCCCACCAACTTCTACTTGGGTGGTGATGGCAAAACCTGCGTCTCCAACTGCACAGCCAGCCAGGTAAGAGCCCTGCCCACCCCCGGGCTCGGGTTCCTGTCCTTCCTGCCTAAGTTTCTCCAGGTCTCAGCTCCTCTGCTGGTGTATCTGGGTGCTGGGGGGTGCAGCCTTCTCCAGGTTCGGGCAACACCTCCCTCCTGTGGCACTGCCACTGTTTCTGGGAGCCCAAGGGAGCCAGAGACCTCCTGGCTCTGCAGTCATCTTCTGCTTGTCCCCCTCCATCCCTTCAACCCCAGAGGTTGTGTGGGGTGGGCTCAGGGTTCAGGCTTTGCTCCAGGTCAGGACACAGAGTGTCCTGGGGGTGCCTGGGAAGGGACATGTGAAGATCCGTGGCCTTGTCAGAGCTCCCTTGGTACAAAACCTCCTGGGGTTCTCCCTCCCTCCCTCCCCCCCATTCCGAGCTGCCCTCACCAGCTCGTTTTTCCTTCACAGTTTGTCTGCAAGAACGACAAGTGCATCCCTTTCTGGTGGAAGTGTGACACCGAGGACGACTGCGGGGACCGCTCGGACGAGCCTGAGGACTGTCGTGAGTGTCCCCAGCCGGCCACGCTCCTGTCAGCCCCACAGCCCCTGTCCTGGGCAGCCTGCACCTGGCTGCGGGGCAGTCCTGCTCCTGGCCAGCCTTGCTGCTCCCTGCTGGGCTCGGCGGGGAGGAGGTTACCCCGTAATGGGGCCTGGGAGCAGTGGGACAGGACGTTCTCCTGGTTGGGGTGTTCCCCAGGGCTGGGGGCTCGGTCCCTGCCGAGCACCCCAGAGGGGAAAGATGGAGGTTGAGCTGGAAATTGTTCCCCAGAGCAAACGTTTCTCCCTGTGTCACTCACCCCACAGCTGAGTTCAAATGCAGGCCAGGGCAGTTCCAGTGCTCCACTGGGATCTGCACCAACCCAGCCTTCATCTGCGACGGGGACAACGACTGCCAGGACAACTCGGACGAAGCCAACTGCGGTAGGTTCTCAGCCCCCTGGCGACCCCCGAGCCCCGGCGGGGCTGCAGTGTCCTGGCAGAGCAGAGTTGCAGCGTGTCAGCTTCTGCCTCCTTCCCAGACATCCACGTCTGCCTGCCCAGCCAGTTCAAGTGCACCAACACCAACCGCTGCATCCCCGGCATCTTCCGCTGCAACGGCCAGGACAACTGCGGAGACGGCGAGGACGAGAAGGACTGTCGTGAGTGGGGGCTGCTGAGCCTGTCAGGGGAGGGCAGCGTGTGTGCCTGGGGGTGAGGAGCTCCCGTGGCTCCTCTGCAGGTCGTCTCCTGAGTGGTCCTGCCCCTAGGCATGGGGCTTTTTCCAGAGCTCTGCTCTGTACAGAGCCTCTGTCCACCGACGTGCTGGAGTGTGGCCAGAGAAAGGCAACGGAGCTGGGGAAGGGTCTAGAGCCCAAGTGTGGGGAGGAGCAGCTGAGGGAGCTGGGGGTGCTGAGCCTGGAGCAAAGGAGGCTCAGGGGAGACCTTCTGGCTCTGCACAGCTCCTGACAGGAGCCTGGAGCCAGGTGGGGGTTGAGCTCTTCTCCAAGGAACAAGTGACAGGCCAAGAGGAAACAGTCTCAAATTGCCCCAGGGGAGGTTTTGGTTGGAGCTGAGGAACAATTTCTTCCCTGAAGCAATTGTCCAGGGCTGTGCCAGGCTGCCCAGGGCAGTGGTGAAGTCCCCATCCCTGGAGGGCTTTCAAAGCTGTGGAGGTGTGGTGCTGAAGGACATTATTTAGTGGTGACCTGACAGTGCTGGGTTGGACTCAAGGAGTTTAAATGCCTCTTCCCAACCAAAAGATTAGATTCCGTGATTCTAAGATCACCCTGCTGCCTCTACAGACCCTTCTTTTTCCTAGTGGAAACTAAATCCTTAAGTCCCTCAGAATGGCACATTCAACACTTGCTGTGGGTTTGCACAGCTGAAGAATTTTGTGGCTTCTTGCCCCACCTCTCTGCAGCCGGTCAAGTCTTCTGGGGCCACCCTGAGGCTCCACTCCCCTCTTCTCTGGCACACGTAGCCCCCAAGACTCTTGTGCTGCCGGGGCCATTTGCTGCCCCCCCGCTCCAGGGGGTGGTTCATTGTGGGGCGACAGGACCCCCCTGCCTCACGGCCCCTCCTGACTCTGCGTCCCCCTCCTGCAGCCGAGGTGACCTGTGCCCCCAACCAGTTCCAGTGTGCCATCACCAAGCGCTGCATCCCCCGCGTCTGGGTCTGCGACCGGGACAACGACTGCGTGGACGGCTCCGACGAACCCGCCAACTGCAGTAAGACCCTGCCTGGGGGTGGGCTGGGGGCTGAAACCGGGAGGGCCCTGCAGCCAGGAGCATCCCTGTGCCCTTGCCCGTGGGGTGGGGGGTCCC